TGTGTGTGTGTGTGTGTGTGTGTGTGTGTGTGTGTGTGTGTGTGTGTTTCAAAAGCATTTAGGGTGGTCTCTGAGTAATAGCAAACACTATCATATCCATTACACAAAGGAGAACCCATACTTACTCAATAATTACTCATACATATTCAATTTAGTACGGAGATTAAGATTGTGTTTATTCTCCCCGATTAACTTAAAACAAATGTCCCTGCTGAAATTCAGTTTTATTTGCAGGTTGATAAAAAATAATCAGTCTACTGGGGCCTTTTATAGGACCAGTTTACCTGTTCGGTGGCAGTTGGGCAGTAGTAGACAAGCACGAGGGTGGTGAAGACATTGGTGGCGAGGCCAATGATGGTGATAAGGTTGGGGGCGATCCAGGAAGGGACCTGTCCCACCAGCCACTCCCAGTAACGCTGCATCAGAGGCTCCAGCAGGGAGCGCCCAGCACTGCTGTACCTACGCAGAGCCACATGCAGCCGGGTGAGGACCGGACGTGTTCAGTCTAAAGATTCACCTCACGGCCCGGTTGCAGTTATGGCAACGATGACTAAATCATACGATGAACGCCACTAGGAAAATAGATCTCACCAACCTTTACAACAGCCACAAATCTTTTTTTTTATCTCATCTTATGTGGATACTACAACTAACAGTTACAACTAACAGTTACAGCTACTGAGACACCAACCGGAGCTCTACTTGACAAACACAAACATTTCTCATGTAAATCAATCTTATTTATATTTTATCAAATTGTGAGGATTTATAGGATTCTGTTTGATTTGGATAGCAATTTTAAGAGCATTAGCCAGATGATAAATGTGCTTCTGTTCGTACCAGTCTTGCTTTGTCATACTGGAAATGACAATGTGCAAGCAGTTACGAATCCGAACGGCCCCCACTACTTAAAAATTAAGTAAAAACTGAAAACATCAAGAACACAAACAAGAACTATAATTTTATTAGAATGAAAGACTAAGATTTCCAAATACATCACTATTCTCAAAGCAATGAACAAACACATCCTTTATGCATCTTGCTTTCTGTCTCAGGTGTTTCTGACATTGTCTGTGACTTTTATGTTTACGAAATATCGATCCCAACCTCAAATACTTTGAAAATTAAATCAGGGCCTGGAAAGTGATGCTATAAGGTGAGCTTAAATTACTTCTAAAGTTGGAAAAATTAAGGAAATGGTCCAATATGGCAGCATGTTGTCTTAACTGGGTTTAGACAACAAAGCGGGAAAATATTACCTGTGTTCCTCCAGTCTCTTGAGCTGGTGTCTCGACAGGGGGGGCGAGGGAAGCTCAATCAGCCTGCGCAGGACTCCGGGGGCCAGCCAGCAGGCCGCCTCCATGCCCATGCCTTGCCCAGGGTCCTTGTCCCGGACAAGGCCTCGGCGAGAACGCAGGCCCCCCCCTTGCTGCTGACCCGTTGTGCTCATGGAGCCCCGCTGCCTGCTGATCTGATCCCCGATAGCTCTGCCTCTGCCACTGTCCCACCTGAAGGGCTACAGATCCACGGTGAGGCTGGATGATTCCTGGGAAAAGAAATGGATGATGATCTATATCAAAATACCATCCAAAGAAAACATCCAAACACTCAGGGCTTTAAAAAAATGTAGTTTTCTGAGTTCTTGGGCAAACACAGGGCCTTTCCGGGCTAAATCAGATAAGGTTGTAAAAAAGAAAAAAAAAACAAAGTTGGCAAGGAAGAGGATGTGGTTGATGAATAGAGTTCAGGAGACTCGCACCAAGGAGTACAGACTTTGAGTTTGAATCTGTTGACTTATAAAATCAGCATATAAGCCTGGGCTGTTTTTGGTGACACAGAAAACAAGGTAAAGTCTCAGGACAGCATAAGGCAGAAGGGTGTCTATGTGACCGTGCCGTCTTGGTAAGATCCTCTGAAATATTTCTCCAACTGTTCTGGTGGTTTGAAACCAACTGTTAAAGATTATTTAGACTGTCTGGTGGACCGACTATCTTCTTGTCTACTGTCTACTTGTCTACCTTTATCATTCATCAAAATTCTTGTCCTTTGTTGTCTGCATTCCTCCTGTGGTTTGCAAAGTCTTATCACTAAAAGAGCAAAGTGCTGCTTGCTTTGAGGGGATCCCCGCTCCTCTTTTGATCAGCACTTCTATAACCCTTCACTCTATAAGAATAAGAACTATTATTCAGACATAAAGATGCAACCCTTCATGGGGCTTTGTAATGGATGTCAAGTGGAGATTTAATAGTTAATCTGAATGTCAATACATAAATATTCATTAATTCCAACTAAAGCTATCTACTGAGATGGTGGCAGCGTTGCTAAACGGGAGTCTGGCTGAAGTTTAGCAGAGCTGATTTCGAAAAAAAAACAGTCCTCTGGTAGACTGTATAAAAGATGAATTGCCCTTGAGACGTCTGGCCTGATGAGCTCAACAACCCTGGACAAGCACATGTCGCTGTCAGTGATTGATAACATCCGCACCGAAGTGCCAAATGACTCCACAGAAATACTACACCCGGTTTTATTGCGCTGTAATATTTACCTGGCTGTCGTGCTGTCCTGAAGCTTGTTGTAGCAGATCTGACTGTCCACACCGAGGGGCATATACGCATCTAAACTAGTTCTTGTGACTGTCAGCAAGGCGAGAACTGCTGACAAACTTTCTTCGATCGGAAACAATCAGCTTCTGAGCTGGTTTGCTGTTGGCTAACTTCCCATATCAGTTTCGCTTGCGTTCAGGATTAGCCGTAACAGTTGTGATACCAGCGCAGCAAGTAGCAACGAAAATACTTAATAGTTTAGACACTATTAAAAGGTCCTCTCTTGCCCACGGCGTATTATTGAATATGCATAACTTGGATTGCTAAAACCACAAGTGCACGTTAAAACAAATCCCGTAAGGAAAAGTAAGATATCGCCATCCCGTCCACAGTGATGACTGTAACAAGCTGATGCTAGCTTGATTAGCTAAACCTAAGAAAGCTAACAAATGTTTCACAGACTGACCTGCCGATTAAAGGACAAGAGCCACCGACAGTCAGAGGAGTGGTAAGGACGCTTCCGTCCGACAGTAGACAACTCTCTGGGGTGGTCTGTTTGATTTCCCCTCTGTGACCTGGAACGCCAGAGCAGCGTCTGCAGCTGTAGGAATATGTCCACGACCGGTGTCACAGTGGTTGGAGCACCAAGCTAACTATCGTTAGCCATCCCGGAAATCTCGCGAAGTTTTCTTTTAGCGTGAGAAAAGTGACCCCGAATTCGATCTCCCAGGCAGGGAGCGCGTGAGGCAAAGCTCACGTGGCAATTGTGTTCTCCCCAGGACACTAATAAAAAACATCACAACAGCATTAATAATAATATCTACGTAAATAATGATAATGATAATAGTAGTTTGTCTTAAAAAATATTGAAGGAAATGTTGTCAGTTTGTAAGGTTAGAAGATGTTTAAAGGTTTTCTAAACTTTTACTAACTTAATGGTATTCAAATTGTTCTTCTGTCCTCTACCTAAAATTACAGATTCAGCTTTGTCATCCTCCCCACCCTGAAATAGAATAGAATAGAACAGAGTGGAATATATTACAATAGAATTCAATACAATAAAAAGATTTTATTGTCATTGTACAACAACAAGCTAAGCTGCAAATACAACAAAATTGTGCTGGAAATGGCTGCCTCATGTACATCAGGTTTGGTCCTACTATGAACAAAAAACAAGGAAAATAAAAATACAAACAAATACAAACATATCTATTTATCATGCTCTTCATGGTCATGCTGATGATTACCACTATAAAAAATCTAGAAAGCATTGTAGCTTTGGCTACTCAGAAATTATGAAAATGATTAAAACTGTGAATTTTACAGGTAGTTAGCTACACAAATATGATTGCACATTTTAGGTGTAAGCAGAAACCAAGCATCCAACATTGCATCCATATAGTTTAATGTAAAAGTTAATTTGACAAAACATCCCATCATATATGTATGAAGGAGATCAGACACATTTAGACATTTTCATTGATCCACTGAGTTTCAGTTCTAGATGTTTTGCAACTCACTCAACACACACACTATATAGCGCATTGCATGCTAAGAAGAAAAGCCATGCAGACACATGCTGATATGGTGCTTAAATTCCAACAATATTAACGGCATTTTCTCCCCTGTGCGAATAATCATCACATTTTCAGTTTTTAGTAGCTACGCTGTTTTATTATTGACATCTGTAATCATTCCCTCCGTTGACAAATCTTCTGATATGGATGGAGGACAGCGTCCACAGATTTGAATAGCTATTTGGAATATGATATGTGCCTGAAGTTGAGTTAAACCACAGAAAACTGCTCCTACTTTCCATGTTGTGTGTGACTGCATGAATGTTAATGGGTACAGGGATGTCTCTTAGACTGACCAAATTCAGTTTAAGGGTTGTAATTACCGTGTCAGTTTGTATTTTTTCTAAAGTTTAGTCACAAGTCGTATTGATGGCGTTTACAGATTAAGTTGTACATCGGATAATCTGATTTTCTGTTTATGTTACACCACTGTACTAATTTATCTTCTGTATAAGGGATGCCTCTACTCACCTCTGGAAAGCAATGTTAGAACAAAATTATGGATTGCATAAAATCATTATTAACCAGAGCGAAACTGTAATATGTGACACAATGAACTAAGCACAGAATAAATTAAATAGATAAATAATCTATTGGCAAACCTTGATGTTGGTGCTGTAGTCATAGCTGTCATCTGAAACTACCATTCATACAACTCTCTTATCATCATTAATAGTGTAGCTGTCAGAAAACAACTCCAGGTGGATAAAACCACTGTGGTGGATTTAAGACAGAAGATAGTTTGTTTTTTAGGCTTTATGTTAATCTTTGTGGATAGTATGTAATATGTGGGAAGGTTCTTCTCAGCCATCTGAGGAAATGCTTAATATCTACTGAGTGAAACTCCAATCAGTGCTCGGCCAGATGCAATTCAAGTCTTACCATTCACCCTTTCTTATGTATCTCATATATTTCATCTCATACAAATAAATCCAATCCTACATCTGCACGGAGAAGATGATGTTGTTCAGTGGCTCAAATACAGAGTCGACACCAACATTATCTTCAGATGTCATTTCTATTTTTATTACACTTGGGAGTCAAACTTTCTAGATAAGTTTGGTGAAATATTATTTTTTAAACTGCTGTTCTCACAGCATGAACTTTAGCAAAAAGCCTTGAAGGCAAACTTCTCCCTGAAATGTAATATATGGATTCAAATCAGTGACTACATGTTCGCGGAGCTGAGGACAATGGATTGAATTTCCAAAATCCACACAAAAAAAAACACGAAATAGGTCCTTCCAAACTTGTCCCTGCCAAGCCATGGACTCAAACACAATGGTCATTTCAAACAAACAAAAAACAAAGCAATAGAAAAATTCAACTTTATCATTTAAAAACCTGCAAACATGCTTAAGGAGAACACTGAACCTGCATATAAACCAGAGAATATTTACTTAAATGGATGTCATGGCTCAACAGATTATATGCAAATTCTGTTGTGCCGTCTGTGTTTTATTATACAAGTAAGTCGTTTGATTTTTTTTTTTTAATGTGCAGCCTGTGTGTGCATCAGTGTGTTGTTAGGGCTCTCCATCCGACAGACGAGCCAGCTGAGGATAAAAGAAGTCTCTTAGTATGCTCTTAACCTGTGCAGGTTGGGGGCTCCCTGCAGCAGGGATCACTGCTGGATTCAGAGCCATGTCCAGGACCTTGGAAGGGTTGAAAGCAGCGGAGCGAGCCTGTGCAGTGTGGAGACCCTCAATTGCACTGGACAGCCAGATGAGTCTCTTCAGACTCTGGATGCTCCGGCCGCGGTCATGCATCAGCTGGTGCTCTGTCACAGCCCGGCGGCTGCAGGCAGACCAAAGAGAGGGGGTTAAGTATTCACCCACAAACTTATTTCCATTAGTTTTTAATGAAATGACAAGACAGAAACAAATGGATTGTTTGTTCCAATTTTTCAAGATGAACTGCTCTAACCTTGTGGGGAAATTTTAGCATTTTAAATCTAAAGAGGACCTTTTTTTTTTACATTTAGATGGCATAAAATATTAGAAAATTAAAAAATGGAAAACATAGAAACTGGATGCTCCAGGTCTTCTCATTATTAGTAGTAACAGAAAAATCATTGAAAGATCCAGAAACAAAAGAGCAACAAATTAGGCCCTAAACTGTTGGGTAGAAGAATTCCTTCCTTCCTGTTCAAGTCTTAAGAAAAAAACATTTTTGAGTTTGCGGATTTGATGTTTTGGCAAAGTAACATGATCAGCACAGCCTCACCCGTCATTTAGTTGACAACGACCAGCTGTAAAGCTGATAAGAAACATGACAGCAAACAACTGCACAGACCTGTGGGACACCAGCATCTTCTGCATAAAAAGACAGAGGACAAAACAACATTGAGATAACCTTATTTTAAAAAGAAGAAGATCTGTTTGAATAGTTGGATTCAAACTCAACCTCCTGTTCAAGAGCAAATCTGTTAGATCAGTCTCACATGTCTCATACTATACAGAACATAATCATACCTTTAGATGGCTCTCTTAATATCTCCTCATAATGAATGTGATTACAGTTTTGCAGCTTCTTCCATTTAACCCTCGTGAAAGCGTTCACAAAACATTTAGTGAATATAACTTCGAATGAATCATTGAAAACTGAAGAATTGACAATGCGGTATTCTAACCATTAACCATCTGTGTCATGAGTAGGAAAATTGTGCTTTTTATGTGAACACCTCAGAGACTGTTGCAAGTTGCCAAATGAAGACCGTGCCAGATGAAAAATAATAATTTCTAAAAGATTATTCAGCAGATGACCTCAAATATGTTGGGTATTCCAAGCAAACAGCTTTTTATAGCAGTGACACGTTTATTTTCCACCAGTAAAATCCAAGTGAGCCATCTGTAAGCCATCTCTTCTCTGTAAGGAAAGAAGCCACAAGCTTTAAGTGGACTTCGGTAAAACAACTGCTGAAATCATCTGTCTAATTTTGAAATACTGGACTGAAAAGTGGAAGACTGATAATAAGCTTTGATTTTGTAAGGTAGGAAGGAATGAGACACTCCGTTTCAACCGCCGAGAAACTGAGATAATGGACCTCTGGGGGCACATATAAACACCTCAGCTGTGCCATAAGAAATGTTATTGCACTGTAAAATTAGGAAAATCATTTCACTCATCAAACTACATGACAACAAATCAAGCTAGATAAGTACAAATAATACACCCCTACCATGGTTTCTGATTAAGTCACCCTGATGATTTATCTTCCCAAAAGATTTAGCTGAAGGTTTCGGTCATTTAAATAAATGATCCATTTTTTATTTCCTTCAAGTTAACAACTTTCCCTTTTAACAGCAAAAGCTTTTATTTGTATATAAATAAATACCAGTGTGGTATAAATGTCACAAACTACACAAGTCTCAGAGACAAAAGTCTGAACATCAAAATTACAGATAGAAAGATAAAGAATATGATGATGAAGAAGTAAATACAGAATATTATATATTCCATATGGAAGGATACTTACGCTGTTGGTAAAAGTAGCTTCTCGGATGATTAGATTCTGAACTGACAGAAAATTCGACCTCCGGACCTCTTATAAAGTCTTTTGACACACACACACTACACAACACACACACACATTATTGAGACCGCCCACAAGACATTGAAAATGGGCCATTTGATTTGTGACGAAACAAACGTCATCAATACCGTCTTTGTCATGTGACTTTTGTCTGCAGAGAAAGAAAAATGTTGAACATTTTCGGGGGTTATATGTGTTAACATGATCCCAAACAGCCCCCGCCCCTCAGTGTGTCACTTGCATGTCTTCCTTTACATAATCAGGTATTTGAAAGGGAAAATAGAATTCAATTGAAGGATTAATATATTTTCTATTTTCCTGTCTAATCCTCCATGTTCCTGTGAGAAAGATCCTGGCGTCTGACAAATGAGAGGAATTTAGATAAACAGGGCTGAATGGTTTCATTGATGTTGAGCATGAAGACACAGCGAGTGAGTCAGAGCAGATGAAGCGACCGTCAGCAAAGCGTGTCTCACTTCGTGTTTGAAACTTTTCCAAGCTGTCTGTAGTTAAGATGTTACCTGGAGCTCTTCACTGGCTCTTTGGCATTACAACCACCATAAACCCTAATGAACCTAAATGGACTGAAGCCTCTGGGTGCTACGGCACCACCACAGTCACCATTAGAAATGTGGTTGTCTTGACAACATCCTCTAAGATGAGTTTCTCTCAGTGAGAAATGTGGCCCACCTTCACAGGTTCTTGGACCAAGAGATGACAGTGAGCACTTTAGTTTGTTAAACACTGAATGAATCCATTAAAAGAATAAAAGGAAGAGACCAAATGAATACATAGAGTATCAGTGGGGTTGAAAGAGACAAGAAACTAATCAGCAGAAGATGATTCACAGCAGGAAATAGTTTGATGTCTCACTTTAGTCAAACCTGATTGCTCAAAAATCGAAAAACCTACTTTCAGAACTATGACTCAGCAAATGTTTTAGATATTTTCTTAGGTTAAAATTAGTTATGAAGTTGGTTAATAGCTGCTGTCAGCTGTTGATGCCGATATGTACATTTCAGCTGGATGTCAGATGAATAGTAAAAGATAACAATCCCAAAGCAAAACGTTATATATTCAAACAGACTGATGGATGCAGTAGGTAAAGGAGCAAATATCTGCTCAATTATCAAGTATGTTTTAGAAATTTCTGGAAATATTTGAATATTTTGGCACTTATTAAGGTATATTTGTACTTAAAAGAAATATTGAATTGCATATAAATGTACTATACATATTTCTGTACTCTCCTTACATCACTTATTTTCTGTGAATTTGCGGAAATAACACCCATGTCCCAAAATAATTTCCACATGATATCAAAAATGATTTTTCATTCTGCTTCTTATTCTGATTGTAAATCAATATTTTACCAGACCTGGTCCTCAGAACTCAGGTTTTAGCTGCTCCACACCGACTCTTCTGATTTATAGTGATGAATTGCCATCAAATTCTGCAGGAGCCTTTCAGTGAGCTGATGATTTCAGCGAGCTGTGTGGATGCAGAGAAACATTCAAGACTGAGTTACAGTGATTTGCTTAATTTACCTAAGAACATATTTATAAGCTAAACATGATTTAAGTAAGAACTTTATGATATTATGTGTTGTACTTTACAGTCATAAACAGTGGAATGATACAGACATATTTTCCAGAAGCAACACGATAGCTTTGTAGAAAATGCATCTGTCCTTCAGCTGAGAGTACAAAAAGATCAAACCTGCAAATGTCCTTTCTATTCCATCTCTGGCAACCAAAGACAAACAACTGATGACACACAAGTGTGTACAAGAATTTATTTTGCCGTTAACTTTTTGTATTGGACAGCATTTTTGTGGGTCATGGCAATAACTCCAATGTTCAGTTAACTGGAATGAATGAATGTACATAGCATTTCTTACTCCCACAATTTTCACATTATTTAATGCTTTATTTCAACCCTCTATATTTATATATTTGCTCAGAAATATATGCTTTTTGTATTTTCTCTGTTGGCAACCAGGGTCTGATGTTCCACCCCCTTTCACTCTTTTCATCAAGGGGCCATCCTGACTAATGAAGAGGGCCAGCTAAGCAGTGTAGTTATGTGTAGGAGGATCATATGCCTTTCTATGAGGCATTCACACAGTCAGTGTTTTGCCAGCTTTGCTTCTTGGCTTTGGCTGCAATTTCGATCTAGCTACATATAGCCTGGATTATATTTTTAAAATTCCTCATGTTTATTTGAGATCATTCTGGAAGGAAAACAAAAAGCTGCCAAGTCAGCAAAAGAAAAACAAATCTGTTTTTTTTATTCAAAAAGCTCATTGTGTGTGCATATATGTTGCTATATAATATACATTTAGAGTTACAACAGGTTATTACACTTCAGAAAATACTCTTAATTGGCATCCACTAGTGCTGCTATGACAAGATGTGTGTCTGTGTCGCCCTGTGATGGACCGGTGACCTGTCCAGTGTGTACCACACCTCTTGGCCGTTGTCAGCTGGCATAGGCACCAGCCCCCCAGCAACCCTGTTGGGAATAAACTGTATTAAAAAATGGATGGACGGGCCCCACAAATTCAACATAGCTCTGCAGCAATACTGCCTTTGCATCAACCTATATGATGGCTTTTGTACCTTTATAATGTAACAATAGAATAGAAATTTTCATCTTTTACTTTTAGTTGTTTCCTCAGTGATTTAAACTTGAACTTATCCTACAAGGGAATTTATACACAGTGTTCATCTAACAGAGGCTCCAATCCAAAGATAATGTATGGGGCCAATTCTTCTAACATAATATCGAGTATATTAGTAGTGGACTGGGGAAATGGTGTCAGAGGTAGCCCTGTGGTAAATACAATTGTAGTATTGGGATGGTTTGTAAATATTGTCTTTGAGCTTCAAGGTTATTAGCATCTAACAGTATTTTTCTAATACCAGCCATACTTGATTGAAAAAACAAAACCTTTAGTGGACAGGAGAATTATGTAAAATATAAGTATTGTTAGTGGTTAGCCTGGTATGAAAAGAGGTACTCTTGTAAAAATGTATAAGAGCTTCATCAAGGAAGAGAGGGGGACCCCCGAACTGGTTGTACTTGTAGGTCATTCTACAAATGAGGGACCAGGGAGGTGAATGGTATGGAGTGCTGGACTTGTGAGCATTGCAATACCAGATGTTCCAGTGAAGAACAAAAGAGCAAAGGGTTTGGTATGCAAGCATTGCAAAAACATATACCGGTATTTGTATATGAGTGTTTTGGAGTTATATTCTCCTAAACTTGTTTCTCAAAAAGAAAAAAATATATACACATATAATATTTTTTCTCTTATCAATACTAGCCTTAATAATCTTATTTATATTTTTTAACCCTTTCATGTGACACCAATTTCTATGACGTAAAAGGAGTCTGTAAAACTACGTAAACTCCAGAAACTACATTACCCATGAGGCAGTGTGCTTCCCTCCATCATCCAACGTCGACTGCCGTTTGTTGACGTAACGTACGGCCGCCGGGAGAAGTTTGAAAATAAACGTGAAACTTTTCTCCCCTTAAACGTTCAATGTCAGCATAGTTTCGTTTATAGTTTTGGCAAATTTGGTAGAATTTCTGAATAAAAGGACCGGTTGAACCGAGCAGCTCAACTCAGAGGACGCAAATTATCAGGTGAGTAACGCGAGTATCGTGAAATAAACTTGCTAGCTGAAGCGGTCACATGAGGCAACTGGCTGTCAACATGCTGCCGTATTCACACCCCGCTGAGCTCTGACGCAGCCCTACGCAAGCTAAGTCTATCTTAAAATATCGAGGAGGAGCGGGGTAAACACTCATGTAGATAAACTGGAGGAAGCACAATGACTTTAGTCGCGTTAGCTAAGTTTGCTAACTGTTAGCTGAGCTCAGCCACAGAACAGAACAGTCCTCTGGATTGGCGGCTGATGAACCAGCTGTCCTGACTACAGGCCACCTGTTGGTGCGAATTCAGGGCATCAATGGATTGTTTTCAACTGTCATAATCTCTGACGGGCCCCCCAAACAGCCTGCGGAGATGTCTCGTCGAGCCTCATTCGCACAGCAGCTGATGGTGAGTATCAGAGAGCAAAAGTTAGCAACCAAGGATGAGGTACTTACAAGTAGAGTTGGAGGAAATCTCTCGTATGACCTCAGTTTCCAGCAGATATAGAATTCATTTTAGTGAAAACAGTAAGTGTCAGAGATGAAAAGATTAAAGAAAACTTGTACTACCTTTACTTCTGTGTCTCTGTTGCTCACCACATTAATCATACTTTCGCCAGGGCTTTAACAACGTTCTGAGTTCCTTTATGATTAAGTTTGGAAATTCAAAAGAAAAGTTAAAGCCACGTGATTCACAGTTATAATGATCAAATCCACAGTCAAATAATTTCATGTCAACAAAGACAGAGGTGAAAATAATTTGTAGAAAACCTGTTATGGCTTCTTATATCCAAAATATACTTTATAAAATGGAAACGGTTCACATTTTGAGTTTAACTGGATATTTGGTGAAGTGTTAGTAGATCCTTAAATATTTGTATATACATTTTTACTGAAATTCACTGCAGCTCTTTGTTGCGTAGGATTATTTAAAAATGTTCTCATCTTTATTTATTTTAATTTTACTTTGAGTATTCAGACTTCCCATGTAAAGCTTTAAAAAATCCAAGAAATTATTCAATATCAAGCAACTTCCACCAACTGTTATGCCTCGTTACACCTTCAGATGGTTGTGAGTGAACACAAGTACAGAACAAACATGTCTGTTCAGTAGTACTCTGTTTTTCCTTTAAACCCACATTAATCCTCTCAGAAACCCACTGGTTTATTTTGTGATCAAATGGGTCCAACCTTAAATTTAAGAACTTAACTTTTTTGTAGAATATTTTAGTTCTAAAAGTAGACTTTATATTTAAAAGCAGATATATAATTTTTTGAAAAGATCCAGTAGTTGTTCCATTGCTGCATTCCTTTACATTTGATATGAAGCAACACACTCAGTTTAATCTAAAAAGGCTGTAAGATGATTCATTCATAAAGTCTATCAAGACTTTTGTTTAGATAAGTTATTACATTTGCCTTTGGGCTGTTTAGTTTTATACAGTAGTACTGTGTTATTTATTCGACTAAACCTTTTCTTGCTTTTAACTCTTTGTGCAGCATTTGTATCACTTCACGAGAACAATCAAGACACTAGAAATGTGCAATAATCTCCAGATATGTAAACAATAAGATCATCAGCACCGCTGTCAGGTGCAATAAGAAGATAAGAGAGATAAGTGAAATGATGAGCCACAAATTCACATAAATCACAATAAACTCCAGATGACCACGGTCTTCATGACATCTGTTATGAAACGTATAAATCACATTGTAAAGCTTGGTTCAGGTTTTGTTATATTAGATTATTTGAGTGATCAGTGCTGCCTCCGTTCTGCAACCTCCGAAATGACCAATAGGGGGCGACTCATCTCGTTGTACCCAAGATGTGTATATGCTTATAAGGATCCTACTTATCTCATGTTTGTATGCTCAGTGTAACTTTTCCATGGTTAGCGTCGATGCCACTCTAAATGCTGAGCAGCCTGATCTGAGCTCTTGTTGTTTCACCATCTGCTATTATTGCTTCTTCTGTCTTCCAGGCAGCGATGTCCTCTCCTGATGAAGAGCCATCGGCTAGTGTGACTGCGCTCCTGTCGTCTGCGTTTTCAGCTGCCCTGTCGGCCGCCATGGAGGTTGCCATGAGCGTGGATGCCAAGGCGGATCTCGCCACTCTGCTGGACGAATGGGAAGAAGCACAGCGGGGCGCCTCAGAGCGGCTAGTGCCCATCCTGACCAAGTCAGTTCTTCCCGTCATGGTTTGTTCTACCCTCTGAGTGCTTGTTGAGGGGGTTAACTTTGCCTCACGTCTGTGTTTACTGCAGAATATCTGAGCTGATTGAACGGGAGACGGGAGAATATTACAAAGCGGACCCTGATCCTTTTGATGATCGTCATCCAGGTGATTATGTGGTTTAAAAACTTTTCATAGAAAAGCCAAAGTGATTATATGAAGTTGACTCTGTGTACATTGAAAGTTCTGAGCGGTTGTATAGTTTTTGGTTTCTGTTTACCGCTGCAGGTCGGGCGGACCCAGAGTGCATGCTGGGACAGCTGCTAAAGATGCTTTTTATGAATGATGACTTCACTAATGCGGTGACTACAGTTTTTTTTAAAACATTTTGTTTGAAGTCAATTTAATGGGACACTGCTGTTAAGGATGCCCGAGCACTGTATCAGTCACATGTACAATTCTATGTGTGTGTATAGTTTGTATTTAGAAATATATGTCTCTGTGAAAACCGACTCATGCACAAGTGACTTACAAGTGATTTCCAGTCCAGGTTTTGGCCATAAATAGGAATAGACACTTCCATAGTTAGTGGTGGACATCTGAAATTGTTTAGGCCATTATAAGCGTGATGATAAAGGCAACAGTAAATAGGAAGCTCATTTTATAAGTAAAGAAATAAAGTAGTGTTATCACCTGTTGCTGTAAAGCAAAAAGTCACAGAAGTTGTTGTAACTGGATAATAAGTTTAAATGAATGAAATGTAGGTTTTCTGTATTTAGTTATCAAAAAGGCAGTTGAAATCACAACAGCTTTAATTCTTTTACGTGTGTCATTTGCAGCTTTTGGACTCGTATATAATGACCAGTCGAGAGCTGAGCCTCAACACAGCAGCATGTCGCCTCCTGCAGAACATCATGCCGGGCCTTGATGCTGCTGTCGTCTTTGAAGAAAAGGTAAAATTGAATTTACAGTCACTGTTGTCACTGCAGAAACTCAAGACGTACAAGAAGCGTGAGACACATTCAGCTCAATCAGTCACTCCTGTCTTTCCTGGATGGGAGCAAGTTGCTCACTTTCCTAAATCTTTTTCAACCTTTATAAACTCCAAGCGTGTTGCTCTCAGAATTTGTTTGAAAATATCTCTGTTAACCAATCAATGTGACGGTTTTGTGTTTGCTATTGACAGGAAGGGCTGGTGGAGAAGTTGTTCAGTTGGGCCCGTGAAGCCGAGCGTCCACTCTGCGTGTACGCCACAGGCCTGTTGGCCAGAGCCATGAGCAACCAGGAAGTGGCGGCCAACTACAGAGAGCAGAACGCCCAACTGGTGGGTCTGCATTTGATGTCCACTGTTGAAACCACTATTTGAGCGCTCCGATCAGCATCAGCTGGATGACGAGGGCTAAAGCAACAGGGATTTGTGCCATGTGCCATAGGATCTGTTTCCAAACGTTTTCTGACTTTGGAACAGATGTTTCAGGATTGGAGTCTCCTCCTTTATGACTTACTTAAAACATTCATGAAGAAAAGCTCTTCCTCTGTGGCTGTAAAAAAATCAATAATCCTGCATTAATAATTGGTCTTATCTTGTGCGACAAGATATTTTTGTGCTTAAACGTGAACAAACCCCTTCAAACATTTGAAAGATGGTATTTTGTCTGTTGGATGTCCCAAATCCTCAAAAGCTTCAATACTCACCTTTTTTCCTCTGTACATTCAGGTACCGATCATGATTAAGCGCCTCCATGAGCTGCAGACATCAGAGGCTGAGACCAACTCCAGCCCCTCCCAGACCCCCAAGAATCTACCTCAAGACTCTCAGGGTGAAACCACCAAAACCTCAAGTGTTGCAACAGACCATCAAAGCAAGGCTGATGTGGACAAAGAGGAAGAGAGAAAAGAAAGAGGAGGAGAGAGCAGCAGGTCGGCGTCAGAGACCAAACCTCCAGCTCTGCCCTGCTCAGCATCCAAAAGTGGTGGCGGCAGCAGCAGCTCCACCCGACTGCTTCCAGACATTGTTTACCAAGCGAGCCCAGACTCTGCCACCGAGGAGGTGGAGGACTCTCAGGGAGGAGGAGGGAACAGACAGGCCGTTAGAGAGAACGGGAGGAAGGCCAAGCAGAAGCTCAACTTTACCACCTCTTCCAGCAGGACTGAGGAGGAGGAGGCAACAAGAGAAGCAAATGAACAGCCGACCAATAGCTCGTCGTGGTCCGAGATGAGCTCGGTGGTGATTGGCTCTGACTACTGCCTGTCACCACTGAGCCCGGCCATGGAGCAGAGGCTCATCCTGCAGTATCTGACGCCACTCGGAGATTACCAGGAGGTGAGTCATACTCAGTGAATGGGCAACGACACAAAAAGCAGAAGGTTTAAAGGTCCAAATCAGTAACCTGAGATGGAAAAGCACCCGAGCCCTCATGTCAATCTTCGTCTCTGAAGCTTGACCACCAAGATACAGGGACAGTATGATGATTGGGATCCTGTACTATCGTTCAGATGTGTTATTTTAGTGATGGGTGTTATACCCTGATGCACAGCTCTTTCTTCATCACATTTCTTAAAGTTTTCTTCAAAGTGTCAAAGTAGGGCTTAAACTGAATACTGATATGAGTGCTGCAATTAGCAGTCGAGCTTACTTTAGTCTCTCTGCTTGGCATTACTGCTGCTTACTAGGCTGAAGTATTGGCTGAACATTGGCTCCTGTGAACCCTTAAAGTCGCATTACCCAACAAAAACGTCTGCTTATCAAGTTGAACATGATCAAAAAATCCTTTCTCCCTTTTCTTTAGTTGCTTGCGGTCTTCATGAAACTTGATACACGGTCCTTGCTGATGAACTACATTGACCTCAGGAAGACCAAGAATGTCCAGCTCACTTTTGATGCCCTCTTGGTAAGATGGGTGCTTCAGTTCGACAGTGAATTAAAGCAGCGCATTAGGGGAGAGTTGAATGCGACCATCTGCTCAGACCAATATTTGACCTCAGGTTGAGTTCAGAGAACATGGAGAACACACGATATGCAAGAAAACAACCTGATTTAATTCAGCCAGACAAAGACGCCTGTTTAAAGAAAGTTCATTAGAATATTCTCAATCATGATATTGTTAGAATAAACAAAACATACAGTGCTGAGTGGAGTATTATAGGCAGTTTTAGGCAGTTTGACTGATTAAGTGCTTTTAAACAAAGGAAAACTGGTGTATTAAACTTAGCTGAGCTATAACTCCAACCACATGGGAGAGAAACAGATTAATTTAATAGGAAATGGGCATGGGTGGCCAAAGTTGGCTTTTCCTTTCTTACTAATTGTTCCTAACATTTGAAATGTCATTATATCTAAATTATCAGTTATATGATCACATCCTAGATGATGATTAAATCTCTATCAACCTTGCAAAAAAATTAGCAAGTTTAAGTAGTTTTTTGTTTTTCCTCATAAAATTTTTTATTTCATTACAGTAAAGTAACATTCCTGGATTCATTAAGGGATCATAAGCTGATGCAGAGGACAAATGGAAGTATTAGCTAGCAGGTTCAGTCTAATATCATACGTTTACCTAAAAAAAAAAAATCAAGAGTGTTGGAATTTGAAGAAAAACGTGGCCAAAAGTATGTAACTCTGAGGCTTATGTCTGTTCACCAGCACACTGATCAGAAGACGCAATTATAGCCAAAGAGATCCGAGTAACACCATGATGGATCAAATGTTGTGTTGTTATTCAGGCATCTGGCCCCTCCCCACAGAAAAAATGCTGTGTTTGAAAGATAATCTGAGCCTTTGTGGGTGGAGTTCTGCTGAGCTCATTGAAGCTTGTCTATTACTCATTCTAACTTTTCATCTCCTGCCATTTTTTTAATTAGATGTGGAACAAAAATATGCTTACATGTTTTATGTAAGCATAACATAAAAAAAAATGGAGTCCTCTAAAGGAGTTTGGAGTTCTATTTAATTTGCACGATTTGTTCTTTCTGCTTAATTTTAAAAGTAATCTATAAGTTTGTTTCTGTAAATTATGATCAGGTGTAGGCAGGAATAAAAGTCCAGCAATTTAAAACTGAAAGTCCACAACAGGGAAAAATAACCTAATTATAAACACATTCCTACAGGCAATTTAGAGTCTCCAGTTACCGAACGTACATGTTTTTATTTTGGACCTTAGGGGGGAGTACCTGGAGCCCAGCCTCTGTTTCAAAAGCAATTTCCTATTCCTTAGTTTATGTAAACGATTTAAAACTGTCAGGTTCGTCAGTATGTAGGATGCTGAGCCTAGGTGTTTCCTCTTAATGAGGAAAAATCACTAATTGGATTTTTTGTTGACAGTAGTTGTCAGAAGACAAACAATTTGGGTCAATCGCCCACATAATTACAAACAAATGTAATAGTTTCTCTAAAGGGATTCAAAATATGGGGATGAATTAAGCATTAACTTCTAACTGAATCCCGTTTATTCCCTCTTTAGTATCTGGCCTCATTGCTCCTTCACAAGAAGTTTGCTGCAGACTTCATTGCTCATGGAGGAGTGCAGGAACTTCTGGAGATCCCGAGGCCCTCCATGGCAGCAACAGGAGTCTCTCTCTGCCTCTACTACCTGGCCTACAACCAAGACGCCATGGAGAGGGTACCCTTAAAATCAACACAGCACAGCACACCTTCACCCCACAACTTTTTTTGCAAAGACAGTTGGATTTGAACGTTTTATAAATGGTTACACCTTAAATGTTAACACTTTGGCTGTTCAGATTCAACTGGTTGAGTACTTTTATCAACCACTGGTGCATTTAAGCCTGTGGACTCAGGCTTTAATCGGCTCTTAAGAGGGGCAAAAGCTAATTTCTTGGTTCTGCTTACAGGTGTGCATGCTCCCAGACGGCGTGCTGTCAAACATGGTGTCGTACGCCCTGTGGCTGTTGGAGTCGTCCCATGCTTCTGGCGTTTGCCACGCAACCATGTTTTTCTCCATTTCGTTTTCATTCAGAGTGGTGTTGCAGCTCTTTGACGAACAGGACGGCCTCCGCAGGCTTGTCAATCTGGTTGGTAGTGAACTGAACAGAGAATTCATAGATACACAAATCAGAGTGAGAATCGTGTTGGCAGGAAAAGAAAAGCCGATAGTACAGTCTAAAACAGCCTGCCAGCCTCACATGTATGACGACCTGCAGTTTCTTTTTTAAATGTACTGTTGTTTCACATTGATTCGATTAGTATTGCTTATATTAATATTGAGAAGCCATTTGAAGTTACTTTGTTTTGGAAACTGACCATAATGAGGTTTAAAACGTGGATCAAGTGTTCAAAAGCCCTTTTTTATTTTTCTACATTGACTTTAGATTTTTGCATTCCTGTTTCATATTGATATGATACAACATGAATTACTGTATTTAGCTTAGAAATGGCTAGTGGCTGGAAGTGGTTTTTATAATAAGCATTCATTTTCAGAAATGTAGGACTCAGCTTGCAGTTTAATACTTGAAAACTTTCAAAAACAGATTTTATTTTTTTAATGAAAAAAAAAAAGATCCTGACGGATTGAAATGGAAAATATACAACTCTGAAATGTTTCCTTAAAAAAACTAAAATATAAACGAAAACGCGATGTTTGAAACCATGATCAGTCTTCATCTCTCCCCTTAGATCAGCACTTTGGAGATCCTTAACATAGAGAATGAAGTGTCCATAATGAGCGATGACCAGGTTTTCTCCAGCCGACAGACGGCCAAACACACCTGCATGGCACTGCGCAGGTAATGGAATTAGAAAAATCGGGGTTAGGGGAGAGCAGACTAGTGGACGAATGTTATCTGTTCATTTTGCAGGTACTTTGAGGCTCACCTGGCAGTGAAAACGGAACAGGTCAAACAGTCCCTGCATGCGTCAGACAGCGGGACTATTGTTCCCCAACAGCCATTTTACAAGGTAGGGATGTCACTTTCATCAACCTGTGTTCTGTAAATGTGGAAATGATATAATCGGAACAGATTAAAGGTACTTTTTATTGTGTGTTACTTTTAATACTTTAACTGAGCAAAACTATATATATGGGGTTGTTTCAGTTCAAAATGTCTGTGAAAAAATATTTTCCTTTAAAAAATAATCATTTCTTATTAAACTGTAGTAAATGCTAAATGTCTGTGAATGCTGACATGAACAGTTCTCAGTTAGATACATATGATGGTTGGTATGACCCGTCTTGCTCTGTATGTGTGGGTTTCCAGGCCTACTCCTATCCCAGAGAGCAGATCATTGAGATGATGGAGTTTCTTATTGAGTGTGGACCTCCTCAGCTGCACTGGGAGCCAGTTGAGGTTTTCTATAAGTTGTCTTGCGTTCCTTTAATGCTGCAGCTGATATCCACAGCCTGTGACTGGAAGACCTACTATGGCAGGTAATCTCCATCAGCAGCTGGGTAAATGGTGATTTTGTGCTCTGACATGATAAGAAAACAAATTCTTTTGAGCGTATTTAAGTCGTCTTTTCTGCAGTGTTTCCGGTTTTGGTTTACATTTTTGCGTATGCCATACTGAGACTGTCTGTCTGTCAGGAGTGACACTGTGCGCTATGCTCTGGACATTCTGGCCATCCTGACCGTGGTTCCTAAAGTCCAGTTGGTGCTGGCTGACACCATAGACGTGTTGGATGAAAACAGGTCCCCTGTCTCAACTGTGGGTCAGTAAAACTCCTTCAAACTGCTGCTGTTAGTAAAAACGAGGCCTCGTCAGTTTTGTACATTGTGCATGTCCCTCTGTCGCCTACCTGCTGCAGGTATGAGCATCATCTTGGGCGTTGCAGAAGGGGAAGTGTTTCTGAATGATGCTGAAATCCAGAAGTCTGCACTACAAGTGAGTAGTTGGGTAAAACTGCGACTAGTCCTCAGCCCTGTGCCACTTTAGTAAGCAGGTATTAAGCAGGTGTTCTTTTCCTACTTTTGAAGCAGAAATGAATTATACATGTGAGTTTACATTTCATCCTCTGTTAGGTTGTTATGATAAATTTTAGTGCATAGGCTGTAAATTTCTCATTTCAGTTTTTTTTACATTATAAATGATACACTTTTGGTGTGTTTATGCATGTTCACACAGTAAAGATTGAACTATTCGGTGAGTAAATTCACCTTTTCACATCTCCCTTTTTGTTCCTATTTTTCTGTCCAAGGTGATAATAAACTGTGTATGTGCCCCAGACCAAAGCCTGAACACTGTTGGTGCTTTTGCTGCCCCTCTCAGGCAGTCCATTCACTCACATAAGCCCCACACCCCCCACAACAGGGTGCTGGCGCACATGTGGCAGCTGGTGCAGAATAATAACGGTATAAAGGTAAGAAGTGGAGGAAGTGTGTGTGTCTTTGTGCAGGAAGAAAAGGCCTTCACTCTTTCCCTTCTGAAAAAGTGACTGTGTGTGGTGTGCATCCTCTTTGTTGAGGTAAGATGAGGGAAACTCTCTCCTAGAGATCAAATACTCCTGTTCCTCTGGGACCCTCCAGGTGCTTCTGTCCCTGCTCTCGGTGAAGATGCCCATCACAGATGCAGACCTGATTCGTGCGCTGGCCTGTAAATCTCTGGTTGGGCTTTCCCGCAGCTCTGCGATCAGACAGATCATCAGCAAGCTGCCGCTCTTCACCAGCGGCCACATTCAGCAGGTGAGTGAAGATCCTCAGCCCAAACAGTGAAAAAAATCTTTATCAAAACTAACACAAAGGTCTTAGCGTAAGTGGTATCTTTTTAAGGTGGATAGTATCTGTGTACAGGCTGAAGGTGCACGCACAAATGATGAACCTAACTTGATGAAACAAACTAAACCAACCACCATAAAGATAGATAGAAATTGTTTGCAGTTTAAAGGGCATCATCTTTTTTTAAAGGGCATCATCTTTGTTGATATAGGGCAGAGTCGTTAAGGCATAGAAAGAATATTCAAATGTATCTCTTTGCAAATATTATAACTGTATAAATCTGAATGATTTTTGTGTGCCTGGATTTTTTTATATAGGGGCTTTAAATGAAATGTAAAATGTGTATTTGAAATACAATATAATATAACCGAAGCACATACCGGTAATTAAAATCAAGAAACATTTAAAGGATTTGAGGATCTATTGATGTGATGACCTCCCTCTGGGGTCCCAAGAGTGTGTAATCACTAATAAGTCAAATAAGTGAAGTATTTTGTGAGGTTTTGTCAGTTTTCACATAAACATTTAGTCAGCTGTTGTGTTCCCCCCCAGCTGATGAAGGAGCCAGTGCTGCAGGACAAACGAAGCGAGCACGTTCGCTTCTGCCGCTATGCCGCTGAACTGACCGAGCGAGTGTCCGGCAAGCCTCTCCTCATGGGCACCGATGTCTCTCTGGCTCGTCTGCAGAAGGCCAACGTCGTTGCTCAGTCACGCATCACCTTTTCTCAGAGAGAACTCCTCGTGCTCATCCGGAACCACCTCACGGCCAAAGGGCTCCATGACACTGCCAACACACTCGTCAAAGAGGCCAATTTACCCGCGGCCTCCCTCTGTGCAAACACCCCGTCCTCCTGTGCCACTCCACCCCCCGCTGCCTCCGCCATACCCAGGACCTGCCGGCTAGCTGTCGGGGTGGCGGCTCGCATTGGCAGCCATATTGGAACCTCTCCTGTGTCGTCTTCTGCTCCCTCTTCTTCCCGGTTGCTCCTGTCACCTTCCTGCTCCTCTGCATCTACCTCTGCCCTCCTGACCCCTCTTTCTCAGGCTAATGCTGCACCTCATGCGCAGGCCTCACATCCTGTCGGCCGGATTTTGTTCTCACGAGAACGCCCGGCAGCCCACTGCAGCTCAGGAAGAAAACTGCGTGCCCTGAAACAGAAGTCTGACCACGGTGCTTTCATCCAGGTCAGTGTTGCCTTTTTCTTAATGACCTGCTTACAGGGTTGAGGTATAATTGTTTCATAAAGGGATCAAGATGATTGAATTAATAAAAGTTAAAGAACCGAGCAAAAATAAGCCAAAAAAGAAAAAAAGCAGCTGTCTTTGAAATCTGAAAGTTTTGGTACAAATAACACTAAATCGTGAAAGTTTTAGAATTTAAGGTAGAATAGTAGATTATCAATTGTACTGAAAGTGTTAGTTTGGAAGATTTGAATTTTTGTTATCTAGTATTCCTCTTTACTCAGTGTGAAATTATTTATATATTTTGATCAGCAGGTGATTTGAAGCTGAAGTTATGGTTAAGCTATTCACTCTTAGTGGAACATCAACATCTGGTTGACTCTCATCAAACGGTTTCACAATGCTTGTTCCTGGAAGTGTGCCCCTGGTCTCTGAAGACCTCTGATAAAAAGGCTCCAATTTTCCATTATTAGAATATTGATTTATTTAATAATCTGATCGATTCTTAAGGATTTGAGAGGAAAAATAACATTAAAGAAATCTCAGAAGGTTTTTCATGCTGCAACACAGCCATCCTGAAGCCAAGTTTTTATATCAAAGAATGGTTCAAGAAAAATAGAGTAAATTTTTGGAATAACAAAATGAGTCTTTTATCTTTATAGTTAGATGTTTTTTTATCAGCATTAGAGTTGAGTCTGATGAGTGTAGTGACGCTCTAGCAGTCTAATAGTGCCACCGTGAGGTCAGTGCTTCTGACTCGGCAACACATGAACAGACTTTCATTAAATGTTCAGAAGATCAAGGCACTAAAAGGATCAAATCAAATCCATCTGGTGGCTATTTGAAAAATGATCAAAGATTACATTTATTTCTTCATTCTGTATTTATTTCATTTTCCCATGCTGCTTCTGTTGCCCTTGATCAGACTCCAGCCATGAAGAAGCAGCTGGAGCGCCACCTGCCTTCCCCGCCATCGCTGGACAGCATCATAACGGAGTACCTGAGGGAGCAGCACGCCCGCTGCCGCAATCCTGTCACCACCTGCCCTCCATTTTCCCTTTTCACCCCCCACCGCTGCCCCGAGCCCAAGCAGAGACGACAGGCGTCGCCCAACTTCACTGCCCGCCTGGGAAGCAGGATGCTGTACCCCAAATATGGAGGAGTGGACCGGGGGTGTCTGGACAGACATCTGATTTTCAGCAGGTAGCAACAGCCTGGAGACCACATGTTGGTTTTCAAAACAGAGTCTTAAAAGAGTCTTTGCTTTCAACTTTGCTTTTTTTTTTTCTTGTGTCGAGGTTTCGCCCAATGTCCGTCTTCCATGAAGGCGATGAGGATGAAAGCAGTTTCACCTGTTGTGCCTTCTCAGCCCGCGAGCGATTCCTGATTCTGGGAACCTGCCTCGGTCACCTCAAGTTCTACAATATCTTTTCAGGAGAGGAGGAGGCCAGCTACACCTGCCACACCTCTGCCATCACACACCTGGAGCCCTCCAGGGTAACACACACACACATTTAAAACTCCTTTTTGACTGGCTCAGCAGTTGAGATGGTTTTCTTTGAATAAAATAATATTACTTTACTGGAAAGTAAAATAAGATATTATAAGACGAAACGGAGATGGAGAGGGAAACACGCAGTCCATCTGAGTGATGAATTTTTCATGATTGTGTTCTTTTACCACTTGCTTTTTTGTTTCCCAGGATGGGAAACTGCTGCTCACCTCTGGTTCCTGGAGCGTCCCCCTGTCAGCCCTTTGGAGCATGGACGATGTGTTCAGCATGAAGTAAAGCCCGTCCTCTTCTGTGTTTTAATCAAAACAGCGCTTTATAGGTTTCTGCTCATCTTACTGAACACCTCTAAACGTTTTCTTACCTTTTGTCCACAGGAACTCTTTTGCAGATGATCACTATGTTGAGTTCAGCAAACTCTCTCAGGACAGAGTCATCGGCACCAAGGATCAGATCGCACATGTAGGTAGCACCGACAACTCGCTGTTTGGAGCCTTTTAGCGTCCTCTCTCATTTCAAATAATGGCTTGCATGTTATTTTATCACCTTTTTCCCTTAACTTGTCCCACAGGCCTGTATTTAACGGTTCTCTAAAAGTTTCCAGTGTTTTCTGTCTGGCTTAGACATTATAAAGGGTTCCAATAATATTATGTCATGTTTTCTCACCCCATGGCTTTAGTGTACTACTCTGATGTTGTGTAGGCAGATAAAGCTTGGCTCTTGTAAAACTTTGTGATACAAACATTTTTTTTTGTCATCTTCTAACCCCTAAATAAGGTCACACAGTTATCAATTGTGAGGACTTCATGCTTTTGCTGTGTCAAACAAAACAGCTTTGGATAGAAGTGATACTTGTTGACAACATGCTTAATAAATGTTGGATTTTGATCCTCGGTCTGTTAGGATCTAAACTGCTTTTTGAGCGTTAATATTTTATCTGAACAATGTCTCACTTTCTGTTCTGTGCTGTAGGTCTACGACATACATACGGGTCAGAAAACCATGACCCTGAATGACCCAGCCCTGGCCAACAACTACAAGAGGAACTGTGCAACCTTCAATCCCACCGACGACCTGGTGCTGAACGACGGCGTGCTGTGGGATGTCCGGGCGACCCGGGCCATCCACAAGTTTGACAAGTTCAACATGAACATCAGCGGAGTTTTTCATCCCAATGGCCTGGAAGTCATCATCAACACGGAAATTGTATCCTCTGATCCTCATGGCTTAAAAACAGTAACAAGATGACGTTTTTTTTAGCTGTGATTACATTTTCAGATGTTCTGCTATGTAAATTGAGTAGGATTAAACTGTATTAGACAAAACCTGAGGAAACTGAAAATATTTTCTTCAAGGCTAACTGTAATAATAGCGTTTGGGATTTAAATTAAAGTGATCAAACAAAGCACAATAAGAAATTAGCATACTAAGTACACATGACCAGTCATTTTGAGATTATTTGACACAACACAGTTGTACTGAATGATGATCTATATGTGTATCGGTGCCCTTCATTGGTTTCAGCTGTTCTCAGCCTTGACACCAGTTGTCAGTGGGATCTGAGGACCTTCCACCTCCTGCACACCGTTCCAGCCCTGGACCAGTGCAGAGTGGTCTTCAACAGCAATGGCACCATCATTTATGGAGGTATGAGCCTGTGTATTCCACTCCCGTTCAAACCCAGCCACCGCAGAAGGAGCTGCATGTCATGGTTTGGTTTCCTTCTTCATGTGCAGCGATGCTGCAAGCTGATGACGAGGACGACGTAATGGAGCAACAGATGAAGAGTCCCTTTGGCTCATCCTTCAGAACCTTTGATGCCACAGACTACAAGCCGATTGGTAGGCTGCACTTTTTATATTGTGTCAGTTTTTAATTTATATTTATTCAAATACACCACAGCTCTCCCTCCAGCACTTGGCAATGTTATTGTTCTGGGTCATTTAAAAGCGTTGCATCTGTTTTATAAGACAATATAGACTTTAGAAATGTTAAGCTCCTGTGGTTATCCTGCTTTTAGTGGTTTGCTCTCAATATTTCATATTTTCTATACAATATTGGTTCTTTCAGCTACTTTGGACGTGAAGAGGAACATATTTGATCTGTGTACTGATGCCAAAGACTGCTACCTGGCTGTCATAGAGGTACTGTCCCTACATTTTGCCCCTTTCATGCCAAGGTTCATGCTATCGTCTGTGTCTTTTTATTAACTACTTTGCTGCTCATCTGTAAGACCAAAAAGGAGAGTTGATGTGAAATCTGCTGTGACACATTAACTTACATGTGGATGGTTTTCACGTTTCTTTTCTAATATGTGTCTGATTCAGGTTACATTTAAAATGTATTTCTGAAGCTTATCCTGAGACTCTTTTCAGAACCAGGACGCAGCGAGCTTGGACACGGTTTGTCGTCTGTACGAAGTGGGACGACAAAAACTGGCCGAGGAAGGAGATGATGATCAGGTGGAAAGCTCCTTCTTTATACTTCCCTTCCTTGACAGAATTCCTGGCATCCACAAGTTGTTAGATTATAGTTTATATCAAGTTAAGTAATGTTTTACGTGCTTAAGTGGGATTTGGCTCATGTTTTTTTTCTTTTTTTTCTGTATGTGCTGTGTTCTTTCAGGATGATGAAGATCAAGACGAAGATGACTCTTCAGACACAGATGATGATGACGAAGATGATGACGATGATGACATAGACACTGACCCGCTCATAGAAGAACTGGTCAATAATGATGAAGCAGAACACCAAGACAGAGGGACCTCTCCTGCAGATGAAGGGGTATCCGAGTCCATCGCATTATAGACTTTTTAAATTCAAAATTATTTAAAGTGTTTAATTAATTAAAGAGGGAAACTATAAAATGGTTTTTAAACCAAAAATATTTCCACTTCAATCTTTAAAAAAATATACGTTTCAAAATAAATCAAATAAAATAAAAAAAAAACTCTATATGGCTTTTGAAGCAGAAATGTTGTGATGTGAAGAATTTCATACAGAAAAAAATTAAAAATGAAACCACAACGAAGAGACCCAGCTCAGAATAAAGGAGTGTTTTTGTTATAGGAGAGGAGTTTTTTGCTCATATGATGGTTTAGAGGAAACGCATTTTCTTTTTTTTTTGTTCACAAGCCGACACAACTTCCTGAGTTCCTAATGAAACATCTGACATGCTTTGATCAAAATAACCCAGAGAGAGCTTTTTTATCCACTGATTTTACACCTGTTTTAAGGAAGATCATTTCAGGGCACTGTGTGAGCCACTTTCTTACCTCTTCGGTGAGTAGTCTTTAAAATATTTGGAACTTATTTTAAAGTATACAGCCTATCGTTTCAATCTAAAGCCAAAATTCCATTTTCATTTTTTATTGATCGTTTATTGTTATCTTTACACTTCAGAGTTCCAGAGAATTCAGTGTAAAGTTTTTATCAAAAAGCCATTAAAGGCCCAAAATGGACCAGGCTGCTTTTAGTTGTGAAATGTGTTTTCGAGAACATTTTTGTCAAGTTATGTTCCCTTTAAGTTTTCATTCGGTAAAAAAAGAAAAAGACATCAGTAGTCTCGCCGTCGTATCTTTTGAAAACTTAAAAAAAATAAAATCTTTTGGTTTTTTTTTTTTAGGGAAATCATGCAGCTCTAAAATACCTTTTCAGAGTGATTCTGTCAAAAAGAGTAAACTGAGATTTTAAGCAGCAGACCATGTGACGTGTGATCTGCTCGCGTTGGCAGCAGTGTGAAGCGGCACTGTGAGCTTCTCTGGCACATTTTCATTCTCTTGGAAACGTCAGTTGTTGTTATGAGAACCCCGGAGGACTGCCGTGACGCACCTCAACTGATGGACCCTCCAGCCTCACATTAATGACTAATTCACTGGCGTGAGCATGCCTCCACGGCCTGAATGGCCGAATGCGGCCTCTGACAGATTGATGAAGCCTGAGATTATAGAGATTTCATATCTGAACATAGATTTTATGGTTTAGGTGCTCCATGTGTGGCAGACAAGGCCTTCGAGAAGCAGTGATGAGCGTTGATGTGATTCTGAAGCACAACTTTGTTTCTTGTTTTTTTTTTCGTTGTGATGCATCTTTTAAATTTTTATTTTTTTCCCTTTAGATTGCAGGTCTCCTTGGCAGCAGCAGTGACAACGACAACAGTAACAATGATGATGACGATGATGATGACAATGACTCAGAAGACATGAACAATTCATACGGAGCTGGTGGACCTGACCCATTTAGTCCCAACAACTTGGAATGTAAGTGATGAACGCATTGGTTTATTTTCAGAAGAACCTGTTAAATTACTGGTGAAAACAACAAACTGATGCCTGAACACAACATATTCTTCATTTTAAGAGCTCAGTTTGACCTGTAGAGAGTGGATTTCGGTTCATTTAACCTTTGAGTTGCCTCCAAGAGTCATCTAATGACCCCTGGAGGACACTCAAGGGTTAAATCAGCCCAAATTTATGCTGTTCTAGTTTAATCATGTCTGGCAGGTTTTGGTGTTCCTTTCAGTTATTAGGCTTTTCAAAAGTAAATTTGACTGATTTTGTTTTGTCTGACAAGGGTCAAAGCTATGATGGGTGGGTTATGATTTGGGTTCAATCTTTAAAAATTCTACATTTTAGCCTTGTGAATGTAAAAAGTATATCTTAATCTATCTACCATGCAACATTTTTAAAAGGCATTTTCTCAACCCTGTTACAGTCTTCAGTGAAGAATCGGATGATGAAGACTGAGTTTTTCCAGTCTGCCGCAGACCCATGGTTCTCCTGACCCGGGGGAAGACGCCTCCCTGCTGATAATGTGAACTTGAAGAAGGGATTTTGTTCTTTTTTCTTTTTTTTTAAACCATCATCTCATTTATGCAGCCAAATTGAGGGTGAGCCCACCGATATTTACGTCTGTGTCCCCAAAGACAGAAAATCAGCACCTATCATCTCTGAATAATTTTTAAAAACTTGGAGAGATGGTGAATAAATGTATGTCTCAGTTCACAGATGTCAGACAGATGTTCTGACCGCTGTGGACGCCTGTTTCTGCTTCTGCTTTCAGTCGAGTATTTATAAAATGAGTGTGATTGGTGTTTTGCTCAGAGGGAGAACTTTTTCTTTAGTTTTAATCACACACATTAAGAGAAGCAACAAAAACTCTTGCTGATGTAAACTGTCTGTTCAGGATTGTACGATTCAGCCTGAAGCTCAAAATAAATTAGGACGCGTCCGGTTTTTCATACTGAAACATTTACTTTTCACTAAAGCACCACTCATAGAGGCTTTGTCCCTTCCATCTCAAATGTTCAGATGTAGCTTAAAGCAAAAGTTTATGAGTGATCAAACTGGATTCACAGAAATGATCCCAGCGGTACTTTTTGTTGTCCTCGGACACAGAGACTTAAGTAACAAAAATCCTGTGTGCATATATGAAGAGACTTTAATAATAGTGTTTTCAGACACTGACACGTCCTGAGGAGGACCTTAAAGAAACTATTCAAAAGAAGACATGAAAAGATTGCTGATCTATTTGATTGTATGCGTTAGAATTACTTCTGTTTCCAGGCTCAAAACGAATAATGAGTCTCTATGTCTAAGAAGGGAGTCAAAATGTCTGTAAGTCCACAAAGCAGATTAGTATTATTTCCAGTTCCAACAAATGTGGAATCGCATGAAAATCTAATAATTGAGTTTTTTTACAACCTTAAAATGCCAACGTACAGTCCATCATGTGGATGTTCCGGCAGTTCGTGGAGGTCCCTGCAGCTGTGGGAAACATCTGGAAGCTTTAGGTGGTCCTGTTATAAAATCCAACCCACTCATCTCATTTTCAGCCCCATTTGAATTAGTTTTTGTTGAGCATTTGAGAGAGTTGGTGGTTTTTACATTTTAGGGGATTGTTTTTTTTCCTTTTTTTTTGTTTGCTTTTTTAGCTCTAGTTATGACCGGGTGTCCTGTTGGGAAAACAGGAAGCAGTAAGCAGCGCCTGTGGAACCGATGACTGAAATGTGCTAAATTATTATAATAATTTTTTTGTTAAGACGTTGAACTTTTAGAAGAAGTGAAGCCATCGTTTAACAACATTGTATTTTGTTTAAGACCGTATAAAGAAATGGATGCAGACGCACAAATGAGCCACATATTGTTTGGAGGTTTGTAGCAGCTGATAATGTCGGCCAACAGGGGCTTCTCTTTTCTGGAGGGGATCATTTCAGGAAATATTCCACTGCTGTGACTATCAATTGAAATTTGATGTCTGATTTATGTGATTTTTTTTTCCGATAATAATCTGAGAAATGAAAAAAAAACAATCGTGCTTTGCAGCCGTTTCAAGAAAAAACTTCCCCCCATTTAAGGAGCACACAAAGATGATTTTATTTCTCTTAAGTTATCAGCTGCTACAAAGTTTTATCGAATGCAAGTCATGTTATTCTACAACCGGCGTACCTCATAACTAATCGTTTGTAACTTAAAGGTTTGTACTTTTATTTTAAAAGTACTGGCGTGTACAAACAATGGGCAGCCACCCTTACAGATGAATGACACGAGCAGCCATTTGTAGGTCGTTGAGACATGTTGGACCAACTCTATGCAGTTCGAAAGGGTGGAGACACAAAGCCAGAGGCCTAAGTTTGCTTCCCTTTGCTTTTGAGATCTGATATGACGCTAAGCTGCACAGCTGGAGCCTCTCACTGAAAACCTTTTCAGTTTTTTATTTTATTTTTAAATTTCTTTTCCCAAAGTTGGGTGTCTACGCGGATGTATCCTCTTGCCTGAAAGAGCAATTTGCACACCATGTTGGTGTTAACCATTTACAACTTGAATTCATGCTTGATGAAAGTGTGGCTTCTAAAACTTCCACTTTTACAACAAATTGTGTGTTTATGTAAATGTTTGGATTGTTTGAAGTGGTTTCAGTGGCTGTCACTCTATAATTCAGACAAGTTCCTAATAAAAGACTTTCTGTACAACTTGTGGGTCTCAAAACGCCGGAGATTAATCTAAACTTCTAGTGAGGGCCAAAGTGCTTCATGTTCAGCCTTCACATTTCCTCTCATTTAAATAATGTTTACTTCCCAATGACAGGTTTGTTTTGCGAAGTAATATGTTTGCTATTTGATTAGATACCATGCCCTACTTTTGGTTGGTTATAAAGGGACAGGTTTATGTCAGACAACACATCCTGATTTCTTTCGATACTCTAACGACAACAGGGGAACGTCAAAGACGACAATATGAATGAGGTCCATCGTTTCCTTACGTCAAAAAGACAAAGAAAACAGGTGCAATCTATAAATGTAATTAGGGATATCGCCCAGCCGTGTATTACAGGACGTGATTAGTGGATTAATTAAGATGATTGGATCCACCTGTTAGCTTAAAATGAAGAGGAAAAAAAACACTCATTCTCCTGAGCCGTCTGTCACATTTAAGGTGAGTCCAACGATTTAATTTCTTTAAAAAATGTCAACAAGCTCCTGTAGACCAAAAATAGATTTATTAATCGGTGAAACAGTGCGCAAGTCTGTCGTCGTCCCCCCAAAACAAAGTTAATGAACTGTGCCATTACGGTGTTGTAATGACCCCTAATGTCCACCAGGTGTCGCAGCCACCACAAACCTCTAGTGCTAGTCGTTACAAACCGACAGGGTGCACGGTGCGCGTCCGTCTGAGGGACGCTGACAGCCACTTTCTCACAACTTGATGGAAGCTGTAACTGAGGGGGGAATGTGGGGGGGAGCGTCGCACAGCTTCGTGAGTTTCGTGCCGATGCACCAAAATGCGCGAGAATCTGCATCCTTTTTTTTTTTTTTACTCTGCTCCTGTGATGTCAAACCTCATTTAACGTTCACCCTCCCCGAAGTGCGCGTGTGTCCCCCTGCGTCAGTGCTAGCGCGCCTGGCTCACGCGGGGCTTTTATTTCCACGCTGTAATTTGGGTATTGCGTAATGCCGCCGGTGGGAACCTTTAATAACCAGGTGGCGCCGCGGACGCGCACTCACCCGGTCAAACGTTGCCGTCTCCCTCTCTTGACCGCCTAACCTACTCCGTCCTGATCCTCTTAAAGCGGCAAAGGCTTCCCCTACCGCTGCGCACGACTCAGACTCACGGGGGCACGACTGTCTTTTTTTTTTACTTCTCATCTGCCCCGGACCGACTCCCGAAATTTATAACCTAAGATGATAAGAATGCATAAAGAGGGCCGGGAGACGCTGTACTGATTTCCCCCCAAAGCGGCAGCAGACGCTTCACCAAACTTGACGGGAATGCGCGGTAGCCTACAATCTCCCCCCCCCCTCCCTCCGTGTACACGGAGTATACTCCTCCAGGAGTCCGGGAAGCCCTCTGCTCTACTAATAGTATTCCGACCCCTGTCGAAGTGACAGATTCCGGTTTCGCCTGAGCTGGCACTGACCGTTCAGCGGCTTTCCTCTGAGCTTTGCCCCAGCAGAGCCGCAGATCAGCGGCGATGGACCAGCGTATTGCGCCACGCGTCACCCCGAACCCGACGGGATAAAGCCTCCTATCTTCAGCTCATCGGTCGAACAGCTGAGCTGCTTTCTACGTCGACGTCTAGTTGTTTTTTTGTTTTTTTTACGCAGCTCTTCCACCAGAGTGAAACTTTTCCCGTCCTCCTATCCGGCCCCCTCCATGGGTGACACCTCGGTGGGATTTCCATGAAGCGACGCATCGGGTGACCAGAGTTTGTTAGGGATTTTTCCGTCTGCAGGGCATCATGTGGACGCCAACGGAGGACGAGAAAATCGGCGTTGGTGAGTGACAACAGCGACGTCTGTCCACTAGCTTGGCGCTGAGTGTTGTGACATTGTTGATTTGGGCTGCTCAGCAGACAATCTGTCATGTTTAGTTTAGTTCTTTTTTTTTTGGGACAACACGAATGCTGTCGGTAACAGATGGTTTCAGCTGCCTTTGCAACATGACTTGATGGGAAATGATGATGGGAACAGAAAAGCTCTACTTCTCGTGATGTCAGGGATCCGTGGGAAATTGCCCTACCAGTGGGTCCCTCTAATGTCTTCCAAGTTTCTGTCTGGAAACGGAGTTAATGGAATTACTGACCCCTAGTTTTGATGATGCCCTTTTGTTTTCTGCATCAGCATCTTTGGTGTGACGTGCTTTCAGATGATGTTAACTGCCTGTAAATGGTGGCTGAAGAGGGCACCATCATTCATTTTAAAAACCATGTGAAACACACTCAATTGTTCAAATACAAGGTCATTTACATGTGCAGGAACTGTAACCACAGTAATAAAAATGGAAGCAACAAGGGAAACGGGCCGGCGTGCTGGTGGACAGGCACCAGACTGCAGTGGGGCAGCCGTGATTTATGAGCTGAGGTTGAGTTGCATTATAATGACACTGAATGTTTTCAGGGGAGCGTCGGAGGTTTAGGGGCAAAAATTCATCAGTTGAATTGTTTTCCTCATCCCTCTTCCCCGTTTGCATTTGAAACACTAACTGTACACACCTACAGGCTGACTTTTTCTTTAGTATCACAGTCTGCCTTTGCTGATTTCATATGTTCTTTAAATACTTGTTTTACACTCAAACAGATTTAGTTGGTCTTTTTAAAGTTGAGCTTTAGTAGCGTTTTAACCGGAACACCGTTTTAGCAGATTTTGAACAGACACTGTGTACAATAACCGTTTTAAGTAAATGACTAAACACTGTGTGTTCTTGTGGATCATCATTTTGGACATCAGTTTATGGACACGGACAGCTGCATCTGCCATGATCATGGGATGATGATGCCAGGAATGCCTGCTGATTGTTTTTGTGCCCTATTCAAATATTCATGGCACCATACCATATCTAAAGTTTGCTTTGGGAAATGCTCTGTGTGCTTTGATTCGCACAGTATTGGTTCCTTTATTCCATTTACACCTTCAAGTATGATTCAGCTTTGGGTTGTGATGAGTCAGCTTTTCAGGGTATCTGTTTTTCTGGTAGTGATGTGTCTTACAGCTTATTGACTGTTTTAATTGGGTTGATACCCCGAGAAGGCCTCAGTGATAACATTCAGTCTTTGCTGCTCTCTTAATGACTGAGATATTGAGAATCTAATAGAAAATATCTTCTTCAAATAATTAACATTCCCCCCTGTTAATTGGGTTTGACCTCCCATGAAGCTGAAAGGTGGCGTGGAAAACGATCTAAAATAGCACAGACCGACAGAATTAGCATAAGTGTTTCCAGCGAGATGCCAGGCCCCTTCCCGCCCTGGATGTTCGGGGCTATCGATTGACAGCTGCCTGGGTCTTTCCGATTGACCGATTAGGTGAAACTCTACACCCGGTCAGGGAATGAGACTCTGCTGACAGAAAGTCAATGGAGAGAATCATGACTCTGGCTCTCTGTTAATTGGAATGAGACATTAGACAAATTTGAATGAAAGGCTCCCTTTTTCTTCTTTTCCCTGCTGCTTTGTTGATTCCCTCGGACTTCTTGATTTACTCCCTCAGCAGCAGAAATCAGCATCGCAGCACAGTTTAATAGGTGTCACAGTACAAATTATAGCAGACATGATACAGGGTCACCAGCACCATACTCTGCATAACAATGCAGTCATGTGGAAATTGCTTCTGTACAGTAATACAGCGTGTCCCACTGAACATTAAGAGTCATTTTAACTCTATTTAAAAAATAATAATAATAATCAAATAAAAGAATCATTGATCAATATGTAGGAAATGGTTGCCATTCTTGCTGTTTGAGGAGTTTTTAGATATTCATAAAATATACAGAATCTAAACTTCATTTTTAAAAGTTGATACAGCGTTGAATTTGTCTGAAGACTTTTGCACATTGTTTGCAAATTATTACTTAGAAAATGCCTACACACTTTTTCCAGAATGACAGGATATCATATCTGGCACATCAAACTTGAGTAACGGCTGAACTTGTACATGTAACAAATGAAAGACCAAAGGAATTCATGTCTTTGATATGTTCAGAGATTAAGGGTCAACAAAGAAAAAAATAGCATCCTTCTATCCCATCAGTGTTTACTTTCTAATGTTGGCTATGGGTTTTGTTAATCCAGCTATTTGTGATTTTGCTGGATAAGGCTTTGCATACCAAGGCAGGGAGAGCGGTAACTCATAGAGTCGTTCCAATAGGGTTGGGATGACTGGTGCCTGGTTGTAGAAAACAGCTATTCAGCTGGATGAATGCAGCTTTGTGGTGCTCATAGAGGTTCCTGAATGCAGCTTCACCTCCCCCAGGGCTGCACTGCACAGCACTCAGTTCTCACACTCGCACAGATGGACAGAACGGCTGATGGACGAATACAGACAACCCAGACCTACTGGTTTTGAAATGTTCCGGCTAAAGGGACGAACCTTTAGCAGCCACAGGGTTTTTCATCCAGTTTCTCATGAACGTTGAAAAAAGTCCACCGACATTCAGACCTGTGACCAAACTGAAGCAGGACTTTTTTTGGTTCCTGCCCAGATCCCAGGACTTCAAAACCCATCTGACCCATAGAAACCCAGATGTTTAGCATGATTAGATCAGTTAGGCTGGGAACAACTGTAAAGTACACACTCACGCTCTGACAGAAGACAAACCAGAAGGCTGGTGCTCTCAGATGGCAGAGGCTGGGAGGTGGGACAGTCCTCTGACGCCTTGCCAACACATGACCATCCACCGTGATGGTCATCGCTTTTTGGTCAAATTGTCCTAAGATGGTTGTCTTGACTGTGGGAGGATCAGGGAGTCCCCGCACAGGGAAACCACACATAGCCAATCAGCAGGTTGTGTCCTAGAAATGTCGTAGTGAGACAATGGTACCAGACACGGCACACTGAGCAGGCACGTGAGAGACATGCCAAAAAATGTTCTCACCAGCAGAGCCAGAACAGGGTCATGCTGACAGTAAATAATGCGAAACTGATGTCCTTCTTAAATGCAGCGCTGCACCTTTTTAGTTTTTT